GGCGGCCGTGTCAGCCCGCTGTTTTGCCTCAGAAACTCATGTTGTAGGAACTTTTTGACACGGGTCGTGTCATCCAACACGACCAGCCGTGTCAGGCCCCCTTCTTTTTCACTTTTTGTGATATTGTACCTTCAAAAAAAGTTTTTCAAGGAGTTCACACGGCGAACTCCTTGATGGCACTTCATGCCATTTTTTTGTGTGTTTAGTGTTGTTTTAAGCCGACTAACCCGTTGTGTTTTTATGGTTTTTGTGCGTGTTTATTGTTGGTCATTTTTGACCTTTGGTTCCAAAAGCTATTTTCAAGAAAACAAACTCTCCATTCACATCGAGCCATTTTTGACCTTGTAAGTCGATGGCCTTGTGCATCGCCATCAACCTTGTTCGCATCACCTCAAACTTTTTAAGCAATCAAACCTTTGATCCAACGTCAAACGGATTTTCTCAAACAATTGTTGAACCAATTCACCACCTTTAATAAAAGGATAAAGTTCTCTTTGTCTTGAACTAAAGATAAAGGATTGAGTGTAGACTTCTTCCTCTCCGAGTATCGGGATACTCGTTGTAGAGTGTATGGTCTCAATACTCGTCTTTCAATACGAAGACGTTACCGTATTTGCCACTCCCTTTTGCTCATAAAACCTCGGTCCCGCGCCGAGTGCATTTTTAAACCTTTTTCTCCCAAAACCTCAGTCCCGTACCGAGTACATTTTCAAAAAACACCTTTCAATAAGAAATTCGATTTCTCTTTGTATTGAACTAAAGAGAGAGGATTTAGTGTAGACTTCTTCCTCTTCGAGTGTCAAGATGCTCACTGTAGTGTGGGTGGTTTCGATACTCGTTTTTCCATACGAAGACGTGAATTTTTCCACCACCCCTCTTTTCACAACTTCTTTCCGCAACCTTTTTTCCTAAAACCTCGGTCTCGTACCGAGTGTATTTTCAAATCATTCTCATAACAAAAACTTGAATGGTCGTGGAGTGGTTAGGCGTAGGCCTTCTCCTATCCCGAGTGCTTGACATTTACTGTAGGGTTTACCGTTGCAAAGCACTTACCATTCAAAACCAAAAACATTTTAATAAGAGAATGAAGTTCTCTTTGTATTGAATTAAAGAGAGAGGATTGAGTGTAGACTTCTTCCTCTCCGAGTGTCAAGATACTCACTGTAGTGAGTGTGGTCTTGATACTCGTCTTTCAACACGAAGACGCTATGTTCGCCACACCATTTCATAACTAAACCTAATCATTCAAAAAAGGATATGTTACGTCCGTTCTACCGCAAACAGGTAACGCCTAAGTCTCCAATGGTCGAGTAGCAATATGCCTAAACTGCTAGAATGCGCACGATAACATCATCCATGAAAACATCGGTTAACCTTTATCCCGAACTACGTTTTCTCTAATTTCTCATGCCAGATGAGAATATGTACGCACAAGACGGCAATGTCTTGGCGAGCACAACCCCCTATCACCTGTAGTTTTCTGAACTACATCGACTCTGACTTTCTCATATCTGTTGAGAATACGTAGGCCTAGGACCACGAAGTCCTATCGAGTCCTTTCTTTCCCTCTTTACCTCCCCTTCCCCAATTTCTAACCTTTCTCTTTATCCCTTTGAAACACTCATTTAGCAATAATCGTTTAGCAAATACCTTCACACATCGACAAACAAATGGTTCCCATCGAGTACGATGGATACGAGGGGTGCTAATACCTTCCCCTCGCATAACCGGCTTCCGAACCCGTTCTTGGTCGCGAGACCATCTTATCCATTCCTTTCTTAGGGTTTTCTCGATGTTTTCCCTTCCCCTCATGGGATAAATAAACTTCGGTGGCAACTCTTCTGTCTATCTTTTCGCCTTCCCCGTCGTTGCACTTTTTGAGTAGCGACAGGGCTGTCTGGATTATTTCAAAATTCTGGATCCGAAGCGAGTTAAACTCTCTAGTAGAGAATATGACTGTGTATTAATTGGGTATGCAACAAACAATAAGGCCTATATAAGTGTTATGACCTAAATGCTAAAGTGATTATAGAATCCAACGATGTTGAATTCTACAAAGACAAATTTCCTTTCAAATAGAGAAATAGTGGAGGTATTGAGTAAAATCACATTCTTGTGATAAAAAGTACCGAAAGCAACAACAAATTAAAAATAGAACTTCGAAAAAATAAATGAGTAAGAGTTTATAAATACTATGGGCCATATTATACGTCCTATAGAGTAGAAGAAGATCCAACAAATCTTCATGAAGCCTTGTCATCTATGGATGAGGATTTGTTTCAAGAAGCTATTAACAATGAGATAGATTCTCTAGAATCTAGTAGAAGCTAACACTAAGTAGACTTGTCTCTTGCTTGCAAACTAATCGGTTGTAAATGGGTTTTGAAAAATAAACTAAAACCTGATGGAATAGTTGATAAGTACAAGGCTCGCCTTGTCGCCAAAGGTTTTAGGCAAAGAGAAAATATAAATTTCTTCGATACTTTTTCTCTTGTTACTCGAATTACATCCATTAGAATACTAATTTCAATTTTTGTTATTTATAATTTAATAGTACACCAAATGGGTGTTAAAATAACTTTTTTAAACAATGACTTAGAAGAAGAAATCTATATGGACCAACCAGAAGGGTTTGTAATTCAAGGGCAAGAAAACAAGATCTGTAAGTTAGATAAGCCTTTATATGGTCTAAAACAAGCTCCTAAGTAGTGGCATGCAAAATTTGATAACTTAATGATATAAAATGGGTACAAAGTGAATGAAAATAACAAATACGTTCATTACAAATATGAGAATCGCATTTGCACCATCCTATGTCTTTATGTAGATGATCTACTCATATTTGGATCAAATATTCAAACCATTAATGATGTGAAATCATTGTTGAGCAACAACTTTGATGAAAGACCTCAGAGAAGCAACTGTGATTATTGGAATCAAGATCACTAGATCTGAAGAAAAAAAGAATTTCTTTAGATCAATCTCATTATGTAGGTATGATCTTAAAGAAATATAACTACTTTGAATGTAATCCCACTTGCACACTATACAATCAAAGTATCAAACTATTTAAGAACGCATGTGATAGTGTCACACAAACACAATATGCTAGCATAATTGGAAGTCTTAGGCATGCCACTAGTTGTACTAGACCAGACATTGCATGTCGTAGGATTGTTGTGTAGGTTTACTAGTATATTGAGTAATGAGCATTAACAAGCTATTGAGATATTAATGTGGTACCTTAAAAGAACCATGAATCTCAATTTACATTATTAGATATTTATTGATGTACTTGAAGGATATAGTTATGTGGGTTGGAATACCTTATCAGATGATTCCACAATAATTAGTAGCTATATATTTAATATAGCTGGAAAGTTGTATCTTGGAAATTAAAGAAACACTCTATCTTAACATTCTCCTATATTTTTACTTAGACATTTCTTTACTTTATTTTGATTATTATTATGTTTTATTATGTTTTTATATTTTATTTTATTTTTGGTTTAATTTGATTTTCGCACTTCATTTTTCAGCTTTAGCAGTCTGCGCGGAAACGATCATAACTTGAGTTCCGGAAATCCGTTTGAGGCGTTCTGAAAATAGTCGGAAAGCTAAGAGAGAGAACTACGACTTTCGTGTTGGAGTCAAAGTCAGATTCAGAGCATAGTTTCTCAGAATATTCATTGAAGTTACAGCATTAGGAATTTGTTATTGTTTTGGGTCATGTTTTGGGTCTGGGTTATATTTTCGACCCAGTTGGGTTTTGAACCGGATCCATTGTTTTTCTTTTTAGGGAAAACCTTATTTGAATGTTAAATATATACTATTCACGAAAAAAATTGAAAAGGAGGTTTGAGAAGAACTCATGGAAAACTAATACCTCTGGGCAAATCCTGTTGTGTACGGTTTCAACACTTTGAGGTTATTATAATATCAATTTAAATCTGATTCCTTTCAATCCTTTTCTATGAAGTCATTATCTTAATTTGATTGCAATTGCTTGCTTAATTCAATTGTTGTTCATAGGATATAATTGGTTAAATTCGATTGTATGCATGTTCGTAAATTTAATTGCGTGTTATCGTTTGCTTAATTCGTTAATTCGTCATATTCTTAACCATTTGCTTAATTCGGTAAACAGGAACATAATTCATTTGATGTTGATAAGCGCTTATCTGATTAATATCATAATCGAATAGGATTGGTACCGCTTACGGATTGATGTTATAATAGCCGATGATAAGTCGGAACCCGAATCAGTAGGATTAGCCGTTTTAGCTTATTTTAATAATCACTTTTTTATAGTCACTTATTTCAAGTATTTTTTCTCTTAATCAAAATTCAAACCCCCATAAACTGTTACTTTATTGGTCAATCACTACAAGAATCCTTGAGAACGATATTCTGAGTTACTGTCGTTGTACTATAATTTTTACAAAACTAGAGAAACATCTTACAACTCATTAATAATTAAGTCGAGTCTATCGAAACTATTTAATAATTTATGTAGAGAAAATTAAGCTAAACATATCTAGCCATTCGCAATTTTAGTTGTTTTCAATATCACAAGTGCAAACAATTTAAAAAGTTTTGATGTTGGAGTTATTGAATTTGAGTAATATTACTAAACATTAACTAATAAAGTGATATATACTTGCATAGTTAATTTGAGATTTTAACCAACCATGCACTAAAATATGCTCATGCTAGAGACAGAATAATAAAATAACGAAAGAAATATGGTTTGCATAGATTGAATTTGAGTAATATTACTAAACATAACTAATAAAGTGATATATACTTGCATAGTTAATTTGAGATTTTAACGTATCAAATAACCAACCATGCATGCTAGAGACGTTTACGAAAGAAATATGGTTTGCATAGATTGAATTTCTGTTACATTGTTGAGACAGAATAATCAAATTTTAAAAAACAAGAATTTACAAACACAAGAACTTCAGAACAATTTCTATAAGAACATGTTGCACTCTTTAGTATCTTGTACTCTTGTGAGTCTTGCTTCTTTTTGTATCCTCAAGGTCCCACATATCCTTCAATGACTTCCATTTGTGTTCAAAATTCTGACTGAACTTTTTTGCAATTTGATAAATATGATTCCTTGGAGGATACATTAGCATTGCATTAGAGAACACAAGTCTTATGTCACTAGCAAACCCATCCGGTGTTGCATACAACCTCAACTTTCTCTCTATTTCCTTCAAACCTATTGCCTTTATCTTACACTTATCAGCCATTGCTATTTTTGGAGGATCTTTCAAATCCCAACCATCTCTATCTACCAACATTCTCTTCAAAATCAACCAACATTGCCTCCTCCTAACACACTCCATCGGTTGTTTCAACCCACATTCTTCAACTCTTGTCACAAAGGCTGTTTTTGATGAATCCTTCGTGTTATTCTTTGGTTGAGACAAAGGTGTTCGGTTCTTGATCATTTTGTTATCCTTTGGTTGAGACGAAGGTGTTGGGTTCTTGATCATTTTCTTGTTTTCAACAACATTGTTATCCTTTGGTTGTGTTGGGTTCTTGATCATTTTCTTGTTTTCAACAACATTGTTATCCTTTGGTTGTGTTGGGTTCTTGATCATTTTCTTGTTTTCAACAACATTGTTATCCTTTGGTTGAGACAAAGGTGTAGTTTTGGAAACTTGGTTCTCGATCATCTTCTTGTCTTCAACAACATTATTATGCTTTGTTTCAGACAAAGATGTTGTTTTGGTACGGTAATCTGAATCAACCCAATAACAGGTTACGATTGGTTTTACAAAATCTTGAATCTTTCTTCTTTTGTTTTCATCTGTGTCGCACGAATCTGAATCGCGTTTTCTTGAACCTGGAGGATAACTGAGCTTGACGATAAGTCTCTTACGAGGTTTTGTGTTCAAAGGGTTTGTGTTATGTGACGTGGATGTTGAAGCAGACATCATCGTGCAATTAAAAAAGAAAATTAGTAATGTTTGGAAAAATGACTATAAAGAAAATTATTCACTGCATATATAATGCCATCAGTAAGATTTAGTTGGAGAATTATATGGATAATTAGATTTTATTTGATCTTATCCATACTAGGGATTCATCATTAATACTTGATATAACTTTAAAATTCAATCTTTTCTTTTTTTTTTTCATTTTAATTATTTTTAAAATTTTTATCATGAATGAGTCATCGCAAAAAGTAAAAGGAAAGAGTCTTTTATTTTTTATGAGAAGTTGTTTTGACTAACTTCTCGTTTGATTTTTTTTAAAACCTCTTAAATTTTATAACAAAAAAAAATTAAATTTTAAAATTTGTTTTGTTTTAAAAATTGTCACAAACAAGTGCAAAGGTCATTTAAAAAATAAGTCTTTAAATATTAATAAATTTTTTTACAACTGAATAATTTTAATTTATTATTTTATTTTTGTTTTAAAATTATTTAATTAAAATTCAAATATTTAATAAATATATTTAAATAGCAATCTTTTTGTATGTCCAAGGACAAACTAAAAATAAATATAAGATATTTTACACTATTTATCTGGAAATTGTGACACTCATATCTTGAATAATCCTTTATTTTTCTTTAACAACATTTTACATTGATAAACTTTCTCGCCAATAATTAATGTCTATTTAGATTTTATTTTTACAATAATAAATATTCTAAAATTTAATTAATTTTGTTCACTCTCCTTTATTTGCACGGAAAATCCACAAAATTTAAAAAGCTAGTATTTTCTCCAAAACTATATAGATGTAACATTTATATAATAAAAATTCATCATAATAAATTTAATTATGTATTTCAATATATCTATAGCACACTAAACTTAATTTTTGAACCATTTGCCTTTTGCGCAGCCAGAATCAAGTTTTAGTCTAAAAGTTATCCTGTCGCTTTTGCATGTTCTGCATGTTAAAGCGTAAAACTTTTTTTTTTTGAAAATTATATTTTTGATTAATTAAAAAGTTGTTTAAGGTGAAAAATAAGTTTAAAGATGTTATCGACTTTCGCTCGTGTAACACCGAATTTTAAGTTAATAAACGTCTGCTTTCGTGTGTCTGGTTATAATTTTAAAATCTATTTTTGAAGACATTTATTTTTACAATTTAAAGAAAATATTTCTTTCGCATTTCAATTAATTTAAAATATGAATTTTAACCTAAGTCAGATACAGGTTCCGTTCTTTCGAAACTAAACCAGTATCTCTAAATTACGCTTTCGCAGTAACTATTTTAATTAAAAACAGTTTAAAAATCAATCCTTAAACAAATCCCTTTTTAATTATTTAATTTACGACTTAAATAAGAGCACTATCAAAACAATTAGTCAGACATATCAGTTACGTAAATGTTACGGTTATTAAATTCTATACTAAATATACTAAACATATTGAGTATAAAAATAATATAGAAGTAACAGTAACTGGATAATAATATATGAATAATAGTAAAGTAAATTTTAGAACAAGATTTGTTCATGACATATATCCGTTGAATTTTGATAATAACAAAGTATTGAAAGAACAATGGTGTTATCTAATGTGTGTTCCAAGTATGCGGGTTCTAAAGCTTAAAATGAATGCATTCAGAATCTGATATAATGACGCATTCTAGAGGAGCTGAGTTACTAGCTTCTAGTGGATCACAATCTGATGAAAACTCTCTAAGTGATGTCTGACATAGACTCTGAAACTGAAGGCCTCAACATCAGAAGAGAAACATACTATCTCTACACTAAGTTAATGTATCAGCTTCTGGTGAACATTCAAAGTTAGTAATAAAGTTTAAGTTATCCGTACTGCAGAAAGGAAGATGCATTGTCAAATTAGTTTGTCAGCGAGAGTCTATCTTCACAAGGCTCAAGAATAGTTGACATATTTTGCGGATATTTACTCTCAACAGATCTATAGTACAAGATTACATAGAAGACGCAATAGTTAAACAGGTTACACAATGGATTAAGATCTTTTGGTGTATCTATCGTCAACATTTCTTGTAATATGGAAAAACAAAGACACTTGCTCAAGTTATCTCTTCCAACGATTAGTCTTCTACAACTGTTGTATAAGTTGCTGAAGATTCAAATTAAATCTTCAGTAACGAACAAAGAGAAAATAAAAAAGGAAATCCAAGAAGGATAAGAGTGTTTTACACTTCTATTTGGATGGAGGAATAAAAAGATCAACAATAAGAAACACAATCAAGTATGCAGAAATTATGTTATATGTTGTAAATTATACAAAGTCTTAAGATTTATTAAACATTGAATAAATTAGAAATCTTAAGTGTTTAAGGTCTTTGTTATGGTAATTACCCTGTACCTCTGATTTTGCATCAAGTACACCTTGTTCTCTATTCTGCTAAACATGTTGTTTAGTAGTCTAGATAAAGTCTCTTGCTATGTGCTTGAGCATCAAAGTCTCTTGTTGAGAAGATTAAGCCAAGTAAGTCTCCTGCTATATGTTAGAGCATTGAAAGTCTTAGCAAGGAATTCTTGTACTTTAGAGTATGAGCATAAGTCTTAGGTTTTTGGAACCTAAGCAAGGAAGTATTGGACTGTGAGTCCGAGCAGAAGTCTTAAGTTCGCGGAACTTAAGCAAGAAAGTATTAGGCCTGAAGGGCTTGAGCATATGCCTTAGGTTCGTGGAACCTAAGTGTTGCGGTGAAAATAGGATACCAAACTATTAATTAGTTTGAGTCATAATTCTCAATTCTCAATCGACTTTGATTTATCCGGAGGAAAAGATCAAAAGAAGGAAAACCTAATTTTTGCATCGTAAATACAATGCGGGGAGAGACCTAGGTAAGGAGTTGGTTAAGCTTAGGGAAGGTACTAGCACCCTAAACTTCTGTAGTACTCTACAGGAATCTTTTGTTTATTTTATGCTTTTTTATTTTATTATCTGTTTGAAATATATATTGAGCTAAGGGATAGAGTGAACTAACGACCAAATGGTTAGTCCTAAGTTTACTTGGTAAGACGTCGCATCTTGTGCCTACATATCCTGACGGGAATGGTATCAGAGTAATTGTAGTTCCCCTCTAAAGGGAGGTTAGAAACTTCTTGACTGTGGTCAAGGTTTCAAGGGGAGTAAACGTATCTTAAGGAAACGCTTACGTGGAGTGCGGCGACTCCTATTTCTACGTTGAAATAGTTTGAAATTAGGGTTGACTAGATGTTCCATGGCGGGAAACCCTAAAACAGAGTACGACGACTCTTTGACCTAAAAGATAGGGTAAAGGGCGTTTTCATCCACGGCGGGACGCATAGGCTAAATAGGGTTTGAAATGGTCCAAAGATTAGGACTATTGACTCGGCGGTCAAACGGCTAGACCTAATTCCTTCAGAAGAGGAAATTAACGGTAAAACATGCAAACAACAAAATATCGGCCGGCAGAATTAAAATACGGAAAAATAAAGAAAACTGTAAAAACACCGCGATGATCACTCGCGTCAATTACAAGTCTCAAAAAAAATGCAAGAAAATAACTACGACAATTATTCACATGATTACAACTGAAAAAAATGCCAACACAAACAAATGGATTGTCAATAAGCTGAAACAAACGATGTTGAAGGTAAGACGAAGAATGAGACGGCTTAAACAATAATTTTATTTTTTGAATTTTTATTTAAAATAAGTTTTTTTTTGAAAAAAAACCAATTCAAACTTTTCTCTAAAAGGAAGAATTTATATTATATTTTTTTATTTTTCCTAACAACAAATGTTCGAATTTTATTAAAACCAAGACAATTATTAAAAAAGAAATTTTTTTGTTTATTTACAAACATAAAATAAAATGAGCCTATTCCATATTTAGAAAAATGAATTCTTATTATCAGCGTTATTTTAAAAAAAAAATGTTTACCTAGAATTGAGAAGGTGTTTGATTATTAAAAGAAAAAATTGAGTTATAAAAACTGATAAAAGGTATAGGAGATAACTCCTAATTAAAACCCATTAAACCCCCTTAATTAATAATTAAACGAATTAGTTATAGAAATTAAATGAATTGATAATAAAATAATAACAAGTAAAAGCAAATGGAACGGATAAAAGGCTTGAAGCCTTTTGGGTTTTCCGCCAACCCTATCCTTCTCTTCTTCTTCTTGGAATGTCGGCGCCATCGTTACTTTGCTCGAGCTTTGCGCGAGCTTTTTTCTCTTCTCTTCTTCTCGTCATGATTTATTCCCTGAAAGAAAAAATAAACACACAAATCATGATTGTGACCATGGCTTACGTTTTTCGTTCTTTGTGAGTTTGTTAATGCTTGATGGTTGTCGCTGATGCTTGATGAGTCCGTTCGTTGTTCGTGGTTCTGGCCGATGATGGAAGAACCTGAGGTCGTTGGGTGGCTGTCCGTTGACGGTGATTAGCGGTGCCTCCCGTCCGTTGACGGTGATGGTGTTGTCGTCGTCAACTCATTTGGGTTCCGGATGCGCTTTGATTCTTTTCTTCTGCTTCTATTCTTAGCCGGAGGTAATGATGAAGAACCCTTGAGGTTCTCTGAACCTCGGCGATGATGATGAATCCTTGCCGGATCTCCGAGCCGTTGTTCTTTGGTTTTGTCCCCCTTTTCGAAAACTGATGATGATGCTTTTATAACTTGATTGATTTATTTATGGGCTGGATTTTTACTATCTTTAAGGTGAAAAAGATGCCGGATTTAATGTGTTTCATTTGACCGGATTTGTTGGATTTGTCTGTTGCATGCGTTTTTGTTGTGAAGCCATTGCTTGACCTTATTGCGGTTTGAACGAACTTAAGTTTGTTTGCTTTGACTGGGCTGGAAATTCGTTGTTGCAATTTGGTTTGACTATTTTTGCGTGAACGGAGTTTGATCCGTTGGCATTTGCCATTCCCGTGAAAATCTGTTATGGGCTGAAAAGTTGTATGGAAATGCTGTTGATCCGTGGATTCCGTAACATCCGTGGAAAGTTGT